GAAAGCACAACCAGAATTCATACATAAGGCACACTGTCGATTTTTGAGAAAATTATAGGATTTTAAGTGTGCCTTATATTGTGTAAAGTACGTTATACAGAAGAAAATATATCGCAAATATATCGTTACCGCACATGCTTCAAATTATACCGTGATATGGATTTTAGGCCATATCGCCTATTCACATCAGTATGAGGAGAGAGTGTGGTTACAGAAAACTGCAGCAAATCTACACAAAAGGATTCAGTGAGCTGAGAACACAACAGACCAAAAATTACAACTATTAAGTCAGGTTGAACTAGCATCTAAAGTTTCATAGCAGTTATATTCTATGTTTAACAAGAGGAGCTTGTCTCTCGTCTTATCCAGCAACAACGTTAATGGATTAATCTTGAGATTATTCATTTTTTCCTCTTTTAACATATCTTAATTTATAATACTGATTGTACTAAACACCTCATATTAATAATAATTGCCTTTATTTATAATATTTTTATAATAATAAACATAGGCAGCATTTGTGTTATTGATGAGCTTTGGGGATCCTGGTGACTGCACCTCATCAGCTGAATACTGTTGTTGAAAAAGCGTGTACTGATACATTTTTACATTTGTTAAAGAAATGTTTAAAGACCAACATTGCCAATAAGTTACTGCAGCTCAAGTTAATGGTTCAGTATTTTAGTGCTTCTACAGCAATCGAGGTAACTAGCATGATTGACAATGACATTATTTTTGGAGCTTATGATCCTTCACAGGTCAGACTTTCAGAAGTACCCCTCATGTCATATAGACACTATTTAAACACAAGTAGTTGGCCACAATTCTTGTTCTCTCTCCACATGAAACTATACGACAGTCACCTCTCTGTAACTGAGGCAGAACAGGTCATCTACTACCAGGAAGGTTGGTGGTTCGATCCCTGCATGCCAAATATCCTTGGAAAAGATACTAACTCCAAGTTGCTTTATGCATCTGTAGTTACTATAGCTCTTCACATCATCCTTGTTCTCAAACTCTATAGCAGTACATTCGTCAGGGATCCTCTCAATCTCCTGGACTGTCTTAATCTAGTTAAAAAGCCAACTGCCCTCTTTCCTAGAGCTCTTCACATCACAGGTATGTCATCTGGACCAGCTGTCTTTCCACTTCTCTTCATAGCTTCCCTCACTTACTAATTCCATTGTGAGTGTATGGTTGTAATTATGCAAACTGTATCATGATGCCATTTAAAGCAGGTTCTTTATTCTTAAATTTGTTATGTAGCCTGTAAAGGTTGCACAGTGTACAGGTTTATTCAAGGTCACATATGTGTTTTTTTTTTTTTGTTTTTTTGTGTTTGATCTGAGCCCCCCTGTCAGAGTTGGTCGCCCATTCACTCCACATGCTCCATTTCTGATTCTGAACTTAGGCCTCTGTCACACAGGCATAGAGGCCAATTGGCGACTGCCTGGCAACTGTTGCTTGCCAAAGAAAAATGAACATTCCCTTGGCTGGTTGTGAGTGGTTAAAAAAAATAGTCGCTTGGTCAGCTAGAGGACATATCTTCATGATAATACATGAAATGACTCGAGATTCCTCAGTGTTACTGGAGGCCAAAGTAATCTCACTTAAAGTCAGTATCTAGTTAGATACCATGTTTAAGGCCCAAGTACAATATTCTCAGTTTTTTCTGATTTTAGAAGCAGGGAATTTGAGGTCATCCAGGTCTTAAGGTAGATAATAAATGTGAGACTGCATGCCACCAACTGACTAATCAGTAGCGTCACTCGATGAGTCATGAGAGCTGAAGTGAAAGGACATTTTTGAAACCCGGCATTGAGGGAAATGGCTACAAAAAGCCCACAGTTGTCCCCAAGTCTGACAAAAAGTCACAGACTGAGCAGCAGGTATGTCGTCGCCTCGACGTCCACTTTTGTTTTAGCGTTCGTGTTGCATACTAATTACACCACGGGACGTTCGGCAAGTGTTATTTGATGAAAAATTTTTACTTATCAGTTGACAAAAAAGCATTTGATTATTTCGATCAGTTTTTAGCCAGTAAAGACTGAATATTGCCGTATTCCAGTCTCTCAGATGACACAATTTCCTGTTTTTCTTTGTTCTCCCGTCTTTGTGTCATGTAATTGTAAACTGAATATTTGTGATTTTGGAATTGTGAATGGATGAAAAGACATCAACAAGGTTGCACTGGACATTTATTGTTTTGATGTTTAATTTACAAAAAATTAATTGAAAGAAAAACCAAAACGGAGATTAATAACGTGAACTGTTAATAAATTACTAGTACAATTGTTAGCACACATGTTCCTCTGATTACCTTAGCAAATGAATGTCAGATTCTCTGGATGGACAGAAAATATGACTTAATCTTCTAAAACACTAAAAGTTTGATAACGAATGATATTTGGAGATGAAAACACTTCGTTATCAATAACCAAAAGAGCCAAGAGAGGAAATGCTGAGGAATATTTTCTTATTTTTTCCTATAAAATTGTGGAAATTTCTCAAACATTTTCAGATTCTTGCCCCCAAGATGTGGAACTTTTGGGGATGTCTTTTCAAAAAAACTGAACAAAAGCCTTGATGTCATTCTTGGCTCAGCAAAGCTGCGATTCCCCAAAACATGCCAGAATATCAACTCTGGCAAAATTTTAATCACATCTGGAACATGTGGGAAAAGTGCACATATTTGTACATGTAATAAATTCCCTTCTACAAAGAAAGGAGTGAAGGCGTTTTGTTCTGTAATTTTCCATCGTCACTGAAATCTTTCTCTGCAGTGTGAACACGCCATATTGTCATTGGCCAACCTTGTCTCCTAGATGTCATGTTTACTGTTACACCTCAACTGTTTAAGTGATATTTAGATCAAAGTTAAATTCACAGAACTGTACGCTTTGAGACCTTTCAAATTAAAGGAATCACTTAAAATATTTTGGTATTCAAGTGAAAGCATAAATTATAATAAACTGGCCAAACTGGAATATTACTCCTCAATTATTAGAGGAATATTATAAGGACACTAAAGCGCAGATCATGCACTTGGAAACCTGAGATATGGTCCTCCAGATGCAAACAGCATGTGCATATGGAAACATGTTATGAGGCTGGAATCTAAGAGCTTTTCCTGCTACAGGCTCTCTTTGAGAACTGAAATGTGAGACATGTTTCCTCTTCAATAACATTTCTGTTCAGCATCTCTTAAACTCTTCATTTTTTAATTTACAAAAGTAAAATCTGAACATTTTTCTTTCTCTTACACCTCAAAATGAAAATAAATCCCTAAAATATTACAATGATTTGCGAACACTGCACGTTGCTATTGCTTTGTTCAGATACCATTTAGCCAATCAGAAGACAGAATGGACAGTCATCAATGCTCTGCTGCCAGGCACATAATACACCTAAGTCTTGAAAATGTTACTGAAAAACAACTTGAGAAATTATTCCACAGTTAGTCAAATCAGGGTCAGTTTTACCACTCTGGACATTTAACACACTCATTTAGGATGTCTGTTTCTTTTCTTTGTCTGTATTTTGTGGTAACTGCAGTTATTTCTAACATTAAGGTTATGTGACCTTTCTCAGAGAAAGACATTTCACTGTCTGCAACTTTCATTTTAAGTTATTCAGTCCATATATTTTTTTTCAAAACTTTAAAATTATATAACAAATTTACTTTCCCCAAATGTAATTTTTGTACAACCATCAGTGAAAAGCACATTAAGATTTGAGTTCACATGTAATTTCGTGTGTGAAAGCAAAAACATCAAAGGAGATGAAAATAGAAACTGTAATTATTTAGACTTGTATTTAGATCAAAATTGTTTTTGACACAGGCAGACTTTTATAATACCCCTATCATTACTCACATCTTTAAAACAAAATTGTGACCAAAATTTCAGTTTTTTGATTATCGTGTTTACTGTAATCCAATATTTGGATTACAAGGTGTCAACTTTAACTTGTCAACCGCAAATCTGCAGTGGATTCTCTTGTTTCTCTTGTCTTGTTTTTCATTGAGGAATGACTGATTGAAAAAAAAAAAGTTATACTGACAACAATTATCATGAATCATGTTGTTAATAAATGTCAGAAAATGTTTAAAGCATTTCATATGTTCAGATATTTTGTCCAACCAACTGCTGAAAAGCGAAAGAGATCTAAGGAGGTCTGTATAATCCTGCAGAAGAAAAGATCACATCTAACAAAACAGCTGCTGATTACTCAGCAGAACACAGAACACATCTTGTTATTGCAGAGTCAAATGGTTTGATTCCTCTGTAAACTAAATATTGAAAAAACCAAAACAAGGAAATTTAGAGACCCCTTGAACCGAGAATAGCTTTCACTGGCATTTCATTTCATTTTTTAACGTTTTTTTCTTTGATGTTGCTGACATTGCGACAGTCGTTAGAAATTACAAGTGCACATTCTACAAAATTCCTTTAGTTTATCAGCTCAGCCTTCACTCTCGGCATACACGAATTATTTGATATATATTTTATGTAGCTCATTTGGCATTGTGCTCTCTGTCAGAAGACTAGGAGAATGGATGCTGGATGACGGTAGTATGGATGTTGAAAGCGCACCTGCGGTTTATTTATTAAAAATCTTGATCTACTGAACAGTGTCATTTGTTTGAGACAAATTTTACGATTCTAACCGTTTTTGCTCCCTTTTGACAAACGTTTCTGTTACAGCCCCAGAAAGTTTTCAGATGCGGGTAATGGACTCACTTTCTGGCTGTGTGACCTCGGACAGTTCAACATGCAGCCCTGCCATGCTGCTGCTACTCGCTTTCATTAACAAAGCTAACATTTGGTATAAATAAGCGTTTTGTTTTGTTTGCTTTTTACAAACTATGTCCACCGACTGCGCAAAGGATCATTATAATATTGAGTCCCATTTATTTTCCCTCCTTTAATGATGATTTCTGGCACTTCCCGTGTTCTACTCAATACCCACTCTGTGTAAAAGCCCAGTCTGGGTCTTACCTAGGGTTGGAGCTGTTCCAGTAGACCGCGTACCGGTCGGAGTTCATGCGATCAGTGGTAACGGCGGAACAGATTTGGAGTAGCAGACCGAGCAACATCAGCGGCGGCCGCCCCGAGCGCTCCATGTGCAGCGGCGCTGCACGCTGCGCCCAAGCGAACATCCGCGTATCTTCTTTGAGCTCTGAGCGCACTGTGACCCGCAGAGAGAATTCCCCGAACCAGGGTTTTCAAGGAAAAGCAAAGAGAATTTGTGCACTTTATATCCACGTAAGATCAATACTCAATATTCACTGGCTGCATATTCCCGCTCTCAAAGCTTTAACTGAATTTATTTCCAAGAAAACAAACTGATAATAATCCATTTCATATTGATATGCGACGACATCAACTGCCTCTTGTTTGAGGAAGAAAAAAAATGTCCACGGCTAAAGCTTGACCGCAAAAGCCGTTAAACTGTCCCAAATTCGGGTCCAATGGGACAAACTGTCCCAAAGTTTCATTTTCACTCAAACAGAACCAAATGAGCATCACACCAGGGCAGCGTCCACACAGCCAATCAGTCCATATACGTCTTGCTCTCCAGCTTTCTGCCTGGAACTCAGTCCCACTTTATTGCGCAGTGCACAAGTCTGGAGAGTCTGCTCACTCCCCGGAGTTCTCATTAAGGATTCATGCCTTTTTTGCGTCTTTTATGTAATGCTGAATACTTTTACAGTCTGCTGCTGTCTAACAAACTTTGAAATATGACAGAGGAGCTGCTCATCCACTTTGCCCTTTGCAAAGACCTCACTAGTTTTCTAGGTTTGTTTGGAGCTGCTTTAAGTTAAAGACCTCGCCGTCAATCCGCAGTAGAACTGGACCCGCTCTTTCTCGTCAAAGAAAACTTTTCGAGGTAAGCGCTCTTCTTTCGCTCTCTCCACAGTGGGCCGTGTCGAACGGTTTGGACCAGACACAAAAAGAACAAAGAAGCGAAAATTTAGACGAACCAGCAGGAGGAGCGTTCGGTTTGGTTACCGGGGCTCAACTACTAACTGTTATTCGGAATGACTCCCAGAGGGCGGAGCTTCTGCTTCACAGCGTTCTCCTACTCACAGCTCACTCTTTCATTGGTTCGGTCATAAAATGCTGCATTGATATTTGAGACAGTGTTTGAACATGATGCTCTAAAAAACTATTAACGATAAAAATCTGATGTATGTCCAAAGTCAGTGGCATTTGTTTTCTGTCACTGCTTAAAAACATGCATACATTGTGGACATGTGCCCTAGCTCACCTGTGAATGGCTCAAGCGATGGCAAGGCTTGCTCTGGAGGGTCAGAAGATCCAGGCCAAGTGAATATTGTCGCTGCTCTTCAGTGCATGCCCATGCTCACCTGCCTGTCCACCCACCACCAGCCGCCTCATGGATTCAAGGTTTTCTGGCATCCTCCCCCTTCCCCACTAGCTTGGATCTCAAGTAAAGGTGTTCTCTTGATAATCCTCTGGATAATATTACCTAACTCATCTCCTGGATTCTCTGCCCAGTCTAACTTGTAATCTCCTCTCACAGATCTCTCCTGGTCTCTCGTTACCATCCTCCGCTCCTCATGTGTGTCTCTCTCCATTTTAATTGGATTCAGTTGAGCTCAGCCTTGTGTTTAAGTAAAATTAGTTTCTATTTTTACTTTTCTTTAAAGTGAGTAGAGCTCACCTAAGTTAATTCATGTTCAAGTTCTCGAAGTGAATGAAGAATCTCAAGCTGCACTCCACTGCTCTCTGTCCTGCCTGTGTCTGGCACTTGAGTCCTACACATGTTGTTTGCTAAAACTTGACTATATAATCTATCCACCTGTCAGCAGACCTGGTCGGAACAGCACTGGATAAGCAGGGGTGCCTTTTAAGAGAACACACAGCTGCCCTGCAATTCGTTGGAGCCCAAGATGTGCTCATGACTCAGAGGCTCGACTGTGTTGCTCAGGTAGTTGAATCGATTAAGTCAAAATTATCCACTGTCCTCTCTTGCCGAGCTCAGAGGGGTGGTGCCGGCTGCCCTGACTTTTATGGGGGCTGCTTTCTGTGATACTGTGTCCCCTATGTTGAAAGCATTTTCAGGAGAGGACTGTTGTTGCGGAGGGTTTCTGCTTTGACATGGAGAGAAGCTTATTTACTGTCTCAGCCAATTCCTGTGTGTTCCTACGAATTGAATGAATATGAATGAATATTCTTTATTGTCATTGTCACAAGTACAATGAAATTGAAAGATGTCTCCGGTCAGTGCAACATCACGAAAGATAAATACTTAAAAACTATAATAGATAGGCTATAAAAGATAGAAATACATATAAAATACAGTGTTCTCATACAGTAAATACACCCAAGCAATCCAGGCCTAAGGCCCCATACAGACACTCAACATACGACCTAGTTGATATATCACTCAAACAATCAATCACTCAGTCAATTTGTTAGCGCATCCAACAAAACATGTCTGAAAGCATTCCAACATCAAGGGCACAAATGACAACAGGGGCAATGAAAGTCATCTACTTTTAGTAGCATTGAGACATGATATTGCAATTGGGTAGAAACTGTGTTTGAGTCTGTTAGTCCTTGTGTATGTTGTTCTATACCGTTTAACTGAAGGCAGCAGTTCGAACATGGAGTGTCCAGGGTGTGAGGTGTCCTTTATGATGTTATGGGCTCTTTTGAGGCAGCGGGAACTGTGTAGGTCTTTCAGTTTGAGGAGAGGGCAGCCGATTGTCCTTTGGGCAGCGTTGATTACTCCCTGGAGTGCTTTCCTCTGAGCCACTGTGCAGCTAGCGTACTATATGCCTATGCAGTATGTTAGTATGCTTTCGATGGAGGCTCTGTAGAAAGACACCAGCAGTCTCTGTGTGATGTTGTTCTTCCTAAGCACTCTCAGAAAGTACAGTCTCTGTTGTGTCTTTTTCAGTAGCTCAGAGGTATTCACACTCCAGGATAAGTTTCCCTCTATGCTGACTCCCAAGAAGCGGAAGTCTGCCACCCTCTCCACATAGTCGTCGCTGATGATTAGTGGTTGGATTTCTGTCCTGTGTCTTCTGTAGTCAATTATGAGTTCTTTGGTCTTTTTCGTGTTTAGGAGAAGGTTGTTATCCTTGCACCATGAAGACAGCCGCTCCACCTCATCTCTGTAGGCAGACTCATCTCCCCCAGATATGAGCCCCACCACAGTAGTGTCATCTGCAAACTTTACAATGGTGTTGCTCTGGTGGGCGGGGGTGCAGTCGTGTGTATAAAGCGAGTTTAGTCCACTCCTTAAATTGTTTATTAAGGAGCTTAAGGGGACTTTTGTTGCTGAACATGCCTGTTCTTTCCCCTTCCTCATAAACTTTTGCTTTAGCTCTTGTAGCATTCAATTTTTTAACCTCTTCCAAGCGTTCGATCTCTCTGCACTGCTTTTCCATTGCTTGCTGCCTTTCCAAGTTTTCATGTTCCAGTTTTTGTAGTTCAGCTGCTTCCCTTTCTTGCTCCTCCATGACTGCTAATATTTCTTGAAATGCAGCTACTTCAACCTCTGCTTCCATCGCTTGTTTGTGAGTATGACTGACCTGAACCACTTTTAGAGCTTCGCGATTTTGACCTTGCTTTAATACTTTCAGATCCTAAGCACAGCCCAGCATCGGGCCTTTGGCTGTTTTTCAGCTCTTTTAACAATGAATGAGGAAAGTGATGTACATGCATCTATTTTGTGCCTTGCGTCTGCAGCAGGGGTTTGTATTTGGTGTATTTGTTCATAAATGGTTTGTACATCTTCGCAGGTGACATTTGCGTTGTTAATCAGCTCATTCAGTTCATTCTCTGAAACTTCTTTTCTTAATATTACTTTGCTTCATATCTCCGTTTTCCAAAAACAACTGCATATATGTATTGGAGATTTTCAAGTTTCTTCTCTTGAAGCTTTTTACCCTTTTCAGTTTGTAAAAGCGAAAGAGTAATAACTAACGGTCTGCCGTTTTATAAGTTGCTCAGCATAATTTTCTTCTGCTTCAGTCAGTAGGTGGAACAGCACAGTGCTCTTCATGATCATTGTCAACCATCTTGTTAGTCTAGTTAAATGTCAGTCAATGCATTATGTTTAAATTTCAAAATACTTCTTTAAATTTGTAACTTATTATATGTATCTCAAGTATTACTTTGGGATTACTGTTACTGTATACTTTAGCTGTAATGAGCTTCACTCTTAATACAGATGTAGTTTAACTTAAAGAACTTTGTAAACTTCACATATAGTTTGACCTTAAGCAAACACACAAAACTCTTTCCTAAACTACAAAGCATCACTTTGAAACACTGTAGAAATTAAGTAACCTTTGACAAATGTGTTATAGAAACTTATTGTGGATCTTTAAACTTGAATTTAACCACTCTTATTCTACTTTAAACACTACCGTTTGTTAATTTTCACATTAATCCAGTTACCCAGCGTTGCTGCTGCTGTGCTTGGCTGTTTGTGAACAGTGAGCTTGTGTGATGGCGCCCTCTTGCGTCTCACCGCTGTACTGTCACTCACTGCTGCAGCTTCTACCAGCAGCTTCTCACCAGTGCGGTCTAGGGCGAGTTTTTACTGTATCTCCAAAATGACAACACAGCACTGCTTCTTCAAGAAAGGCGCTTTGCTTTTTTAATTAATTTTTTTTAACACTGTGAAAACTACAAACATAAAACGCAAATGCTTTAGGCACTTCAGTCATTTAAAAGTAACCTCCCACTTTGGAGATCCTAGAGGAATAACCTTATAGTCTTGTGCATTTGAAATTAACGTATAAAATAATTAGAACACCATAGATTATAAATTTTGACAATATTACAAGACAATTATAACAAATCCCTTGTACAGCTAGTGGATGAACTAGACTGTTGCAGATGTCTCGCTGAAATCCTTTGCGTGTTTTTCAAACACAGGCCTCACAGTCTCTTAAAATTCACACCAATGTCATCAGTTAATGTGTTGTCAAATTTGTCTACTTATGTGGTGTGAATCCCAAAAACATTAATGCCAATGGTAATGCATCTACCCGTGTCATTGTAGTGTAGTGGCATACGTATTTTGGCATTTTGTCTTTTCAGGGTTTGGTTTTCTTACAATGGCCTGAGATGCCAGATGATATACGGCCCCAAATCGGTCTGTTATGCCTAGGGCTCTCTCAACTTTGATAGATGCTTATTATTGAAATGTGATGCATTACCTGTTGATTCTTGGTGCTCCATGTCTGGCTATTGATTCATTCCTCAGCCACTTTATTACAGTCTTTGCATCTTCTTTCTCGCAGGGAATTGCTTCCACTCATTCGGTAAATCTGTCCACCATTACCAGTAGATATTGGTATCCCTTTGTTCTGTGTTCTCATGTCAGTAAAATCAGTGGCAATGTCCTTGAATGGGACATCTGGGACCAAAAACCTTCCCATGGAACACCTGTTTCGAGTTGTGGTCATTACAGGTGACACACTCAGCTTCGTGGTTACTCACAATGTGCTACTCAAAGGAGCTTGCAAAGAAAAGCGTCTGGACTTCTTTAAGTTGCTTGAAGACGTTTCACCTCTCATCCGAGAAGCTTCTTCAGTTCTAAGGTCAAATGGTGGAGAGTCCCAGATATAAACCTAGTGGGAGTAACCCCCCACAGAGGGACAAAAGGACCCCTGATGATCCTCTAATCACCTGAGCCAAGGTGTGAAATTGGGTGCGGGCCCCAATCAGCCAGAGTTTCAGGTGGGTTCATTGTGAAACCTGGCCTCACCTTGTCATGCAAATTCCTGAGGTCAGATGGCCCAGGATGTGAGTGGGCGTTAAGGCGTCTGGGAAGGGATCTCAAAACTGGATTATAGATGGCAGAGAGTTGGTGTCGTAAACCCCCGCCTCTGTTCAAAATTTCACACCTTGGCTCAGGTGATTAGAGGATCATCAGGGGTCCTTTTGTCCCTCTGTGGGGGGAAACTCCCACTAGGTTTATATCTGGGACTCTCCACCATTTGACCTTAGAACTGAAGAAGCTTCTCGGATGAGAGGTGAAACGTCTTCAAGCAACTTAAAGAAG